AGGGACAGCACCCAGACCCAGAGTTCAGGCCTCACCACTGAAAAAAAAAAATATATATATATATATATATAAACTGAAAGGATATTAATTAATCATATGTACTTTTATCTCTTGAGTGAATTTATCATTTTGTTACAGCATTTATTTAAAACTAGACATGAACTTAGCAGTTTCAAACCAAAGCAGCCAGATTCCACTTGGTGTAGTTTAGGGCAGAATGAAGAAGTGAATAAGATGGAGGCAGAAATGGACCAATCAAAGCAAATACCTCAAAACCTTTCAGAAGGCCAGATTAAGAAGAGAAAGGCTGCTATCAAAAGATTAAAAAAACAAAGAAAGAAAAGCAGTCACAAAGAATCCATTCTGACCCCACTTGGGCCACTTTCAGCAATGTGATCTCAAGCTTTAACATCTGAGAACTACAGGCACTTCATCCATCAGAGGAGGCTCAAAACAAACTCCGACATCAGGCACTAAAAGACTGAGATCTGAAGATCACAGGGCCAAGCCAGCCTAGGCAGGAAAGTCCCTGAGACTCATATCTCCAATTAACCATCCAAATGTTGGAAATGGAGTTCAAGTGGCAGAATGCTAGTCTTGAGCAAAAAAAGCTCAAGAACAGCACCCAGGCCCTGAGTTCAAGTCCCAGGATAGCACAAACAAAACAACAACAACAAATCCCAGACTCCTAACCACATAGTATGGACAGAATCAGCAGAACCTCTAGTGTAAATGGTTAGTAAATGGTACCTCAAATGTGATTGCATAAATAGGAAAGAAAAGTAAAAGAAACTATTTTAGCTAATCTCAAAAGGAATGTTCAAAGGTTTCATTCAGCTGACTGCCTTATCTTAATAAAAACACTGGCTGGAGAAGAAAGTAAAACTACATCCACAGTTTGTGGGGAAGAATATAAGCCAGTCTCTGAGGCTCAATAGTATTTTGCCTGAAGAGAGACAAGACAGACTCAGCAACTCAAAGCTGATCTACAGAAGCTACAAAAAGAGGAACTGGCAACAATTTCCAGCTGTGTGGCCCAAGACTAATACTTTACCTCTCTGAATCTCAGTTCCTCATCTCTAAAAGAGAATGATGCTCTTACCTATTTGTGACAGGAAATGAAAGCAATAGAACATTTGCTAACATTGTGTGTTTAATAAACATCAAAAGCTTCCTGCAGATTATTTGCACAATGAAATTCCCTAAGAATTATGTAAAACAAATTCCATAAGTTTTAATTTTGCAGATGGGCTTTGAGACTCATACAACTAAAAAGCTTAAGAGCTGGAACTCAATTCAATATGACACCAAGACAGAAATTTAACCACCATACTGTTGTCTTTCCCTGTATGTCAGGGAAAGAAAGTTTCTAGCAGATTAACTCCCTTTCTTACATCTTTCTTTTTTCCTAAAATTGTAAGTAAATAGAAAATTCATCTTACTAAAATCATAATCCACTCTACACTTGCACAGTTTCTTTAAGGAAATCATCCTATTTAATTATTTTCTCTCTTAAGCTCACCAAATTCCTGCCCATGTACTATTCACCTACTTTACAAATAAGGAACTGAAAAAGCAGCAAACTGCTAGGATGATATGCCCAGTCATACGGAAGTCACTACCACACCCTAACAAAAAACCTTGGTGCCCTTACTCTAAATCAACTTTTTATTCCTTCACATGACACAGTCTACATAATAAAGAACAGATCGTTCATTTTTTATCTGGAATACTATCAAACACATAATTCAGCAACAGGCCTCATGACCCCACCACCTTGTCAAAGGGAACAAAGTATATAAAAAATGAGGTTTGCAGGAGCAGACGGTTTGGGTCTGTCAACTTTCTCTTAGATTACACCTGTCAGTCCAAGATAAAATATGACAAAAAATAATGTAACAAATCCTCATGTCTTTAGAAATTCAAATTAAATTTACTGTTCCTTCAAGGAACATACCAAGGACAACACTGAACTCTTGATGGCATTGCAGTGATTCATGGTTTATCAACCTAGTCTTTGAAGGAAACATGTAACCTAAAACTGGACTGCTCTGAAAAACTCCAAGTCAGTAATGTACATTTAGCATAAATTCATTTAACATAAATACATTTAATATTTAAAAATTTAACATAAATTCATAGAGAATTTTCAGAGTTTCTTAAGAGACCTGCAAGAGCTTAGAAGCACACTTTCACTTGTTATATTTTTGAAACCTCAGCTGAGGGAAGTAAGATGGTTTGCTCAAGTTATCACAGACAGAAAAAGAAGCAGAAAATTAACCTGCTAACTGCAATCTATTCCACTTGTAAATCTTGTTTCTAATGTCCATAATTCACTTAGCACTTCCAGTAAGTAATAGAAAAAAGGATTTGGATCCTGATGGCCACTTATCTATAATATAATCTTGTGAAGTCCCTGACATTGTCTGAATTTCAAGGATTTATTTTTGGTCTATACACTGTGGGTCATAATAAGTTCCACAAGTCAGCAGGAGGTAACATAAACAAGAGACCTGGCACACAGCCTGTGAAGGCCACAAAGGCAAACAGCAGGTCTTTAGGCCCCTAGTAGAACTTGTTAGGCGCACATTCTCCAAAGACAGATTGAGCAAATCAATGAACTTACTAATCAAATAGGTACTAATCTTGAACCAGGTCTGTATGCTGTTGAAACACCAGGTTCTATTGCTTGCACTTCACATGATTTCAACACAGAGTATAAATTAGGCCTTACAGAGTATTGAAAACACAAAAGAATAAGAGAGCCATTTACTAACCTTAAGGCAAAAAGAAAAAAAGTTCAGTTGAAAGTTTCTATTATGTGTTAGTAATTCTCACTGCAGATATTGTGGTACACACTAAAATCCCAACTAGGCTAGGGCAAGAGGATTTCAAGGATGGGCTAGAATGCATAGAAACCATGTCTCTAAGTTTAACTAACTAACTAACTAAATAAATAAATAAATAAATATTCTTGATGTTATCATGGGGCTTTGGAATCAACTAAACCTGGGTTTAGGTCCCAGCTTCAGAATAAGCTTGTAGCCTTAAGTAGTGTAGCCACACTACTTTACTTCTCTAGTCCTAAATTTCATACAGAAAAACACCTACCTGACAGGAATTCTGTGTTGAGTCAGACAATATGTTTAAAGAAATAAAGGTACAAAGAAACATAGGTACAAAGAGAAACCTAATTAGGGTTATACTCCACTTCCCTCCTTGTTAACTGGAAAGTTTCACTCATTCACCTTCATTCAAATGTCACTTCCTTCGTGACCTATCTATAATAGAGCCCCCAAATCCCTCTCTCATTATTATTACTCATTTTTTGGCAGTATAGTATGTTTTTCTTTTTCTAGATGCTACATGTACTCCACTGTTAGGCAAGCTTCAGGACAGGGAATTTGTTTTTGTTTTTTTGCTGGGTCTGAGCTTTTCTGCTCAAGGCTAGCATTCTACCACTTTGAGCCACAGCTCTACTTCTGGTTTTCTGGTGGTTATCTGGAGGTAAGAGTCTCACAGACTTTCTTGCCAGGGGTGGCTTCCAATTGTGATCCTCAGATCTCAGCCTCCAGAGTAGCCAGGATTACAGGTTTGAGTCACCAGTGTCCAGCTTTGTTGTTTTAATTGCCATATCACCATAACTGAGAAAATATCTGGCTTGTACTTCATGCTTAATGTTTGCTGAATGACTCAACAAGTTAATTCAACAAATAGTTGTGTCGAGTAGAGGTTTAAGTCTTCTGCTCGGGAATCTGAGACTTTTGTCTCACTTAGACAGGACAGCTGGCTCTTGACTGTTCTCATGTCCACTATGTTCCCTACATTCAGGTTATTAGCCAATTGCTCCTAAAGCCCATATCAGATCACTCATTTGTTTCAATGGCTTCCCATCACAATTAGAATAAAGTCCAAATCCCACTTATGAAGCCTCTACCATCCACCAACCCAGACTAGTCTAACCTCTTTCTCCTAATACTCTCAGAATTTTAGATTTACCAGTTTTTCTTTTTCTCAAGCACACCAAGGTCTTCCTTTTTCTTTACTTTTCTTTCCTGAGACAGAATCTCATTGGGTAGCCTAGGCTTTCCTTAAACTCATGACTCTTCTGCCTCTATCTGAATGCTGTTGTCTTTTTGTTTTTAATTTAAAACATAATACATATTTTACTAAAACTTAAAAGAGTTCTATACCAGACTCTAGTAGTTCACATCTATAATCTTAGCAACTCAAGAAGCTGATACCTGAAGGATCATGGTTCAAAGCCAGCCTGGGTAGAAAAGTCTTGCAAGACTCCCATCTCCAACTAACCAACAAAATGCTAGACTGGACATATGACTCAAAAGGCACAACCCCAGACATGAGCAAGAAAACAGAATGAACACACAAAACCAAAAGTGGCAAAAAAAAAAAAAGAACATATAGGAGTCTTTAAGTTCTAAATCCTTATAGAATTAACACTATTCTGTTTTTATACCTAAAACTCTTCAACTAGCAAGCTAAAAATAGCTGGTCAAGGGGGCTGCCTTTTTTGACCTAGAGCCCTTTTGCTGTTCACTGATGGGAATGCTCTTCCCCTAAGCTGATGACTCGACTCCATCCAGCTCTCAGCAGCAGTGTTACCTCCAGAGAGTCGTCCTAGGCTCGAGGCGCTCCTGCCACCATCCTCTCCACTTCTATCAGACATCATGGAATTTTCTTTCCGCAAAGCATTTCACTACCTATAGTGACCTTGTCTGCTTGTTTGGCCTAACTTTCTAACCAGAATGTATTTCTGGTTAGAAATACATAAGTTTACTGCTTAATATTCAGTATGTGACACATAACAGACACTTGATAGATATTTCTGAACCAGTAAACTGGATCTAAAATGGGTTTGCTAAGATGAAAGATGTAGGTTAGGTATGCTACTGGCCTAAGAGTATATAGTAGGGTACTGGTTTCCATCCAAAGACAATCACCTCATCTCTCTGAAATACATAAATTTCAGCCAAACTTACTTAGGAATGGGAACCCGAATTAGCGTCCCTTCCACTTCTGGGTTCAGATTCATTCCACTTTCTCTTATAGCCTTGATAGCTGCAGCTGTACACTGAAAACCAGATCAAAAGGTAAACAGAATTAGTAAATAATTATTACCAGATGTGAGCCCTCTGTCGATAACTGGCAACCCATCTTGGCAGAACATGGAAACATTTAGTTCTGTTACCAGTAAGATCAGGAAGTTACATTGGTGTAGAGCGCTTTGATCAAGCTGAATAGCAAACTATGTCCACTCCTGGTACCAGTGTATTGCAGAAGGAAAAAAAGACAGAGAAGAAAAAATAAAAAGAAAACAGCTCTGCTTCTTTGAAAAGATTTCAATGGTTTGAGGCAACACAGATCAAAACCACAAGAAATTCTCAAGGGAGGAGGGCTAGTCTGTGCAAAGATTGGTGTAAAGACAGATGAAAGATTTCATACATTAAAAACTCTAGTTGACATTTACAAAATATACCAATGTAGATTTAGAGTGAATAAATAAATTTAACTCATTCACATCTATACTCATACCAAACGCACTCACGTTTTCAAATGAATAATAAATCTCACTGCTAAGTGCTGCAGGAAAGGTAAAATGGAATCAAGGTAAAAAGCATTGGCTTTAGAGTCAGAAAACTCGTATTTTAAATCCCAGCTCAGATAACCATTTGACTAAGAGCAGTAAGTGTGACATCTTTGAATTCATGATCTGAGATGATACTTAAACCTCAAGTCATGAGATAGCACAAGCAATTCATCAGGCTATGTTCCTGCCACTCAGTCATTACAGAAACAAATTACAAATATTTATTAAAAATAGCCCAGGCACCACTGGCCCGTGTTTATGATTGTAAGCTTCTTAGGAGGCTGAGATCTGAGATGTCAGTTTGAAACTAGCCTAGGAAATTAGATTCCTCAAGACTTTTATCTCTAATTAAACAGCAAAAAGCCAGAAGTGGAGGAGTAGTTCAAGTGGCAGAATACCAGTTTAGAGTGGAAAAGCTGTGTGAAAGTAGGAGGCACTGATTTCAAGCTCCAGTCCTGGACAAACAAACATGGAATGCACAAAACCCCCCAAAAAAGGCTGAGTTGCTGTCATCACCTAGGTGATACACTAACATTCTTGAAGGGCTTGAAGGGCTTCTCTAGCACACCAGTATACTGGCCTTACCTCACCCAAGAGCAACACTGTAGCTGTACCTGGAATGTAATGGAATCTTAGGTTTGACCAGAGCCAATTCACATCACTTGGATTCACAGGCCAGTTCTTAAGTTCCTCCATTTGACTTTGCATTTTAAATGCATGAGCTGTTCCTTATTTTATAAACATGTTCTTATTTTGGAGAAGATGCCTAAGAAGCTTTTCATTTCATTGTTAAGTGACCTTAATTTTACACTCATATTAAATACTACCATAGATCAAAATTACAAACCAGAATGTTCACATATAGATGTGTAGACTCTAAGTGTGTATAGAACCTGATTGTGGCCAGTGCCTAAAATAATAAATGCTTCAAATGAAACTTCTGACCAGAGTTAATCAGTTTTAGAAAGAATTTCTAGTGGGGCTGGGAAGGTAGCTCAGTGGTAAAGCGCTTGCCTTGCATGCCTGAGGCCCTGGGTTCGATTACTCAGCACCACATAAGCAAAAAGAAAAAAGCCGGCAGTGGCACTGTGGCTCAAGTGGTAGAGTGCTAGCCTTGAGCTGAAGAGCTTAGGGACAGCGCCCAGGCCCAGAGTTCAGGCCCCACGACTGGACCCAAAAAAAAAAAAGAAAGAAAGAATTTCTAGTTAACTAAGCATAGCTTACATTATGTACAGTGTATTGGAATCCAAAGGATAAAGTCAAATCCCTAAGCATACACACAGTCTTCTCTTAGAATCTGAGAGATGGAACAAGGTTTCTATCTTACTTCTAGTTATTGACAGTTAAGGGGGATTTGAATGGAGATTTAGTTTAATGGTGTTACTTTGTCTAAGTTCAATGTATTCAGAAATTATGACAAGCTGATTTCCTATTAACCAAAAAAAAAATAGAACTAGGTCTTGTGTATAAAGGATATGACCAAAGTAAATAAAAGTTAACAAGATAAAGAAATGAAATTGATTTTCCTCTGCATGAGAATCATCATCCTTAATAAAATTAAACAGTAACTTACAAAGTTAATGACAAATCTCCACTTGGAAGGAGAGCCTGATCTCAAATCTCCCAGTCCTCTTCTTCAGCTTCTCCCTCCACAGCTGGCAAGACATTGCTATAATGTACCACTACTATCACCACCACCTTTCACAGTCTGGCCCAAGTAGTTTCATATAACCTTCCCTTGGCACAGGAACACTCACTAGTGACACTAAGCTGGGCAGAAACTGCATTTCAGTATTTACAACTTCCCAATACAAGGCAAAGTGACAGGTACAAGCTAAGTGCTCAGTAAAAGCTTACTAAAAGAATGATCTGGTTTAAATCTATCAGAAAAAGTCATCTCCTTACTTCATCTATATAACCTCCCAAACTTGATTTTATACTGTTAACTTTTTCATGTCTTTTTATAGATAAAAATATAAGGCTTCATTTTTGTAAAGAAATTTACTGTAAGAAGTAGCTGACCCAATGTATTCTAGGTCTATAGACTCTAAGTTGGCATGGTAGGATGCAAACCCTCACAGGAAATTAGTCATTTCCTCAACACAAACCTGAACTACTCACGGGTCACACATACATATAGAATTTCTATCCCTTATCTTAGCCTTTACCCTCTCACTGAAGGAGGATGCTCACCAGCATTGCAAGGCTAACTGATTACTCTCATATGGCAGCCCTGAACCACTGGTTAGGGATACTAGAGTACTGTACTAAGAAAGATCACTGATTCCAACTGGGGTCAGACAAAAAAGAGTGCTATGATTAATTAGCAATGTGTGACATTGCTCTTCTTAAGCTATCTATGCTGAAGAGCAAAATATGACAGACTTGTAGACAGGTGAACAAGAGCTTGAGAATTTGAAATCAAGCTCAATTCTGTAAATTACCATATCAATTACTGGCCTTCTGTGTCCTCTGTATCCAAATGAATCCCAGGAATGCAAAGTCTATGAAAACAGATCTAATCTCTCTCAATCATCAATGAATTCCCCAAAATACATATTGAATTATGAATGGTAAAAGAAACATAGGCTTTGTTCTCAAAGAGCTACATTCAAATCTTAACTATGTAAAAACAGTATGAATATAGGGGAGACATTTTATTTCTCTGAGCCTGTTTCTACATCTATAAAATGGAACAATAATGCTAATTTTATTGTTGATCATGTGAAATAAAATATGAGAAAGTGACTGGCAACACACATTAGTAGCTGTCTCCTCTCCACAAGAACAGAGCATGCAGAATTTTCTCTTGTATTTGCTTTGTTTGGTTCAAATAATATTGTAGCTACATTCCCTTCTTTTCCCATCATTAATTCTAGCTTTGGACAAGTTTATGGAAGGCAGCAATTGTGTGTATCATTTATCAATCAGGACATATGTTAAACAAATGCAACACAGTTTTTTGTCCTCAATGCATTCAAAAAAGATTTTACATGCAAATCTGCATCATGTCACTGCAGCATGACACAGATATGCTCTGATTTGGAAAGAAAGCCAACTTATATGTGAAACAAAAAGGGATTATATAAACAGAGAGAGGATTAGCTCAGCATTTTGAAGTTATGAACCTGAAAACTCCATGGACAGCTTGTAAGCTGGAGGAAGGAAATGTTTAGTTAGAGTTATTTATTTAATATATACACCAGATGAGATAAAGAAATTTAAAAGACAATGTAACTCACACTTTCTCACTCTGTCCCTATAAATATGAACCTCTCTGCTGCAGTGCTTGTTAAGCTTTTTCAAAAGCCAGAGAATTTCAACCTGGAAAAATGGCAAAGATATTTTGGAGATATATTCCAACTTCCTAAGAAAAAATTATGCTGTTACTACCTCCTCCTACCATAGAAGATGCTTTGGTAGCCAATCAGGTACTTCTTTTGTGAATACCATTTGATATTTAATAACAGAAGTGGCTGGCTCTGAAAAGCAATCTGCCTGATGAGGTCTTCAAGCTGTGTAATTAGGAGGCTATTCCCTAAATTGGCCTACAGTGCCTATGGGATTAGATGAACAAGACAAAAAGGCCATAGCGGGTTCAGAGAGGCCAGTAAGGGAAAGAGCGGTGTTTCCTCTTTCATCCATTTCCCTGTTCCTCAGTAACCTCATGAATGAGTGTTCCCTTCCAACAACCTAAGGGCAAGAATTCATCCATCAAGGAAAATTTATGGACTACTTCTAAGTATCAGCATTGTAGTTTCATTCATTGTGTTTGATACTAGACACAATGAAAAAGCTAGACACTTTAACAGTAGACCTTGGGTATCATAGATATATGGTTCTAAGGAGACCACCAATGAGGAAAAACGACAAATGTTCAGTATGCAGAGTTCAGAACTCTAAGATTATTCAAATTTACCTGTATGTACAGTAGGTCTGGGAATCTATAACTTGAAACTTTTATGTTGAGTGTTGATGGCTCACACCTGGAATTCTAGCTACTCAGGAAGCTGGGATCTAAGGATCACAGTTTGAAGACAGATTAGGCAAAAAAGCCCTCCAATTAATCACCTGAAAGCCAAAAGTGGAGCTGTGGTTCAAGTGGCAAAGAGCTACATTTGAGCATTTTAAAAGCTCAGAAACAGAGACCAGGCCCAGAGTTCAAGCCCTAGGACTGGCACACACATACAAAAAAATTATTGTTGCATACATAAATACTACTCACCAAAAACTAAATCTTATTTCATCTTCATCTTGAATACTGCTGATGCTTGATTTATTTCCCCATAATGCCAACTAATTTCCACTAAAGACGAATCTAAAATGTTCACTCTATCACTTAAATTAAGCACAACATACGCCCTTGGCAGCTTGAGAGGATTATCATTAACGTTTACTTTATTTGGGGGGCACCATTTGCCTTTTGGGAGACCTATTTTAGTGGCAGGGAACCAGGAGAACACATTGATTTTAACATAACTTATGGTAATGCCTGATTGAGAACTTGAGTCAACTCAGCTGCATAAAGCATGTGAAGAAATTTACATTTATTTATTTTTCTAGCACCAAGGCTCAAACTTTAGGCCTTGTGCTCTCACTCAGATGATGTTCATGGCTGGTACTCTACCACTTGAGTCTTTTCTCTAAAATGGCATTTTGCTGGTTAATTGGAGATCAAGTCTCATGAACTTTCTTGCCTGGGCTGGCTTTGAACTATGATCCTCCAAATCTCAGCTTTCTGGGTAGCTAGGATTACCAGTACCAGTGGAAATGTAATTGTTTACATTTCTTTTTTCTTTTTCTTTTCTTTTTTTTTTTTGGGGGGGGGGGTAGTGGGGCTTGAACTCTGTGCTTAGGCACTATCCCTCAGCTCTTCAGCTCAAGGCAAGTGCTCTACCACTTGAGCCACAGCACCACTTCCAGTTTTCTAGTGGTTTATTGGAGATAAGAGTCTCACAGACTTTCCTGCCCAGGCTGGCTCTGAACCTTGATCCTCAGATCTCAGCCTCCTGAGTAGCTAGGATTACAGGCATGAGCCACTGGTGCCCGCTTCTTTTGCTTTTTTCTATTTACTGATTTACCTTGTATCACACTTGGTCAAAACTAGATGTAATAAATTCATGCCAAGAGCTAGTGGCTCACTCACACCTATAATCTTAGACACTCAGGAGGCTGAGATCTGAGGATTGAGGTTCAAAGTCAGCCCAGACAGAAAAAGTGCATGAGACTCTTACCTCTAATAAGCTACTCAGAAAAAGCTAGAAGTGGTGCTGTAGCTCAGGTGGTAAAGTACAGCCTTGAGCACAAAGGAGGCTCAGAGACTGTGCCCAGGCCCTGAGTTCAAACCCCAAAACCAACAAAAAAAACAAATGTATTAATTCATGAATCAGACTGAAAGCATGGCTGAAATGGTAGAGCATCTACCTAGCAAGCATAAAGTCCAGAGTTCAATCTCCATATCACAAGAAAAACAAAAACAACAACAGAAAACCCACAAAACTGTGACAAAGGTGTAGTTATTGTAGTATAGTCCAAGCTTACAATTTAGTGAAAGTGAAAAAGGAGGAGAGTTAAACTAGGTAGATTAGGGAAGGCTTCCTTGAAAAAGTGACACTGCTGTAGTGATCCAAAATATGAGTAGCAATTAACCAGCCAAACGTGTTCCAAACTGTACAAACAATATATGAAAAGGCCCAAAGGATGCAATGGGAGTAAAGTTTAAAGTATGCAATGGGATTTGTTATTTTAAAGAACTAGAAGGCCAGTGTAGATACAGCAGTATACAAACAAGATTGGAAAAAAATGACAGGCCAAATCATGTAAATTCCAAGTCCACAGTACTTTCAGATTCTTGATCTTGTATCTTTAATTTCTCAAAGATTACTTGAATACACCATTAAACCACTTAAACTTAAAACATAGACTTAGCAATGATGTAATCCAATACATCCTTTTACAAATTAACTGCAGTAGATAGAACAGAGTTGGGCAGTGGTAACTAATAGCAACCCAGTAAGTATACCTAGCACATTTGCTACAAGAAGCCTCTGGTTTGAAAGTTTGTTTACAGCAAGGACTTTCCCCCTTTACAGATACTAAGTTTGTCAAATCTTGTACATGTTGAACTTTGGTCTAAGTCTTTGAGATAGAGAATAAGAAGATCTTACTTTATATTAGCATATGAGGAAATACAGGCCCAGAGAGTTAAACTACTTGCCCAAGTTCTAACAACCAATTAGAGCTAGGGATGGGACCAAATTTCAGACCCTATAGGACACCCAAGCTAGGCCAATTCCTACTGGACCAATAAGGAAGGATCTGGTGTTAGAGACGTAGCTCAGTTGGTAGAGCCCTAGCTAGTAAGTGAAAGCACCAGGTACTGAGTTTAAGTCCCAGTCTTGGACTTAAAAAAAAAAAAAATTAAGGAAGAATCCAATTACCCTCCTCAACTAGACTTAATACCACACAGCCTAAAATAAAGGTTATAATTGATTTAATGCAATTTACCCTCTGATCTTGGAAGCAATGTACTCTGTTCAATATTCTGCAATGGTCAGTCTGAAAACAGTCTAGTTTAAAAAAGAATGTGAAATCTTTGGAGTGTCTCCTTCAAATACTAATAGAGAAATCACAAATTGATGGCACTCAGGCTATATATGTCCTATTAAAATGTTTTATTTGTCTCACAGGTTTTTCTTGGTTTTTGTTTCCATTTTTTGTCAAAACCAGGATTTGAACTTAAAAGTCTTTTTTTTTCTTGCTTCTTTGTTTAGTACTCTCTTTTGCCAAGCCTCCAGCCCTCCTTTTTGCTGTTTATTTTGGAGACAGTCTTACAGACTTTTCTGCCCAGGCTGGCTTCAAATTGTGATTTTCTTGACCTCAGACTCCTGAGTAACCAGCACCTGACTTTATCTCAAGGTTTTCAAAAAGAGAAGTGATTACTTGTAGATTTATAGGCACATTCTAGCTACTACAAATGAGGGAAAACACACAACCTTTATTTGTCTGGGTTTGGCTTACTTTGCTTAATATAAAATTTTCCAAGTCTATTTCTTCATGAATGGTACAATATCATTCTTTCTGATGGATGAGTAGAATTCCATTGTGTATACATACCACATTTTCTTGATCCATTAGTCTACTACAGGGACATGATAAATTATACAGGTCTCTAGGCATTCATACATAGTAAGAGCAAAGGAGGATATTCTTAGGAGAGGAACACAAAGATGCAATACCTATGTGCAGCTGATCATATAAAATAATATTCATCGAAACGAATTCTGAAATGGAAACAAGAGGGCTTTTCTTTCTTTGTTGCTGTTTTTGTCTTCTTTTTGTCTTGTTTATCTGTCTTTGGGAGGGAAGGGGGCACAGAAATGGTGGGACAAAGGGTGAACAAATGCAGCAGTGGTACTCACTAGACACTATGCTGAAAATGAATTATACAATGTGTGGGCAGGGAGGGGTGGGAAAAACTGGAAGAGAGCGAGGGAAGAAGTGACATTGTCCAAAAAGAAATATACTCTATCTTACATAACCACTTATCACCTTTATAGTAATAATAAAAAATGCATGAAAGGAAAAATAAATAAATAAAAGGAAAAGTGAATTAGTCATCAATACTTAGCAAACAAAGATATACAAAAATTTGAATTATGGCTCTTCTAGAAATAGAATTATAGTATCTGACCTACATCTGTATGTGGCAATGTTCATCTGTAGGGGCTGGGCAAGCTATCCCCTCAGACAAGGCACAGGCTATCCAGGTATCTAAAGTCCCAGAACATCAGCCAGATCCAATTACTGCATCTCCATTATTGTTTTTCTTAAATGAAGCTATATAAATATTCAAATTACTCACATATAGCCTTTATCAGATAAACAATTTAGAAACAGGACAGAGCTTTGTTCATTCTAAGTTCCCTTTGGTGAGTAAATCTCTACTCTTCTTTCATCCCAAGCTGAAGAGAATAATTCTTCCTGACCCATTCCTTTATTCCAAAAGAGACCGTGGAGAGACCCTTTCAGCAAAACCAACTAACCTCTGGAAAGCTGGCCATATTCACCAAAATCAACTGTGGTGACTTCATGGATATCTGGCCAATCTGGTTTAAAGTAAGCTTCCCATCAGCAGTTACCACAGTAATATTATCAAGGGATCCTAAAAAAAAATAAAAAAATAAATTATCAAGTTTCAGAATTCCAAAGGACCTTAAGAGTCATGTCTAAGTTCCTACTTAATTTGGATTCAACAAACATTCAGGCATACTAATGTGATACAACTGTTTAAGGGTATTGTTTAGAAGTGTCACATGACAGAGAGATCTTGACTCACTTACTGAAATAGGTTGGGATTCCTTGCTAGCAACCATTCTCATTTACTTGAATTCAAGGGGTTTTCTTTGATATAGAATTTTCAGAGCTGAGAATGAAGAGTAGAATCACCCTTCTAGCAACATTTACTAGTTACGAAACATCATTCAAGTTACTTTTTTTCTGTTTTGATCTTAATTAAGAAAAAAAAACTACCTTACAGAATTAAAGTTAAAGTTTGAAGCTAAAAGACTATAAATAAATAAAAATGCTAAATAAAAATGACCAGGTATATAACCAATACCAAAAAATAAGCACTGAAAAGATATCTTATCCTGTTTAGTTCTCATAACTCCTTGTTCACTATACTACCACCACCACTTTTCAAGGAGACTTGAGAAGGATAAATGGGCCAAGATCATAGTGCTAACTTAAGGAAAACCAAGAACTAAGTTTCAATTCAGGTATGCTTAATTCTGATTTCAATCAAGGTTCTTTCCCTAACATGAGTAGAACACAAATTTGCCTTGCATCAGAATCATGCAGGAGCTTTTAACATTAGATTCCGGGACCCCATCTCAGCAATCCTGATTTGGGAAGGGATCTGGTAAATTTTTTTAAATTCACCACATAATTCTAGCACACAGACAGGCTATTCCCTCTGCCACTTTTGATTCTGGTGTTGAGATGCTCTCCTGAAGCAAGCCCATTAACCAAAAAAGAAGGCAAGAAAATGAGAGAGGGAGGGTAGGAGCAAGACACAATGCTATACGCCTACAATCGCAGCCCTGGAGAGACTAAGGCAGGAGAACCAAGAGTTCTAGGCCAGTCTGGACAGCCAGACCCTGTCTAAAACAAAACACCTATTAATGCTTTGCTGTTATCCCAGATCTGACCTTTTTCCACATCCTAATTCTAGAAAACCTTAGGCAAAACTTTCAGAAACTGAAGAAGGTAATCACTAAAGCTACAGCTACAGAAGGTACATTATTCAGACTCCCTGATTTCCTATCCAACTGAAACTAGCAGAAAAGCCTTACCATCCATAGCAGGAACCACTCACGATGGCTCATTCAGACAAAGAGAAAGGGCCTGTGGAATCTCTTATACAAACTGGAGTTATCCTGTAGTATTATAATAATGCTGCACCACACTATGCTCCAAAGATCTGATTTGAAGTACTCAACCAGATTCAATGTCAAGATAAAAGGTTATTGACATTACTAGAAAAGTCTAACTGTGACAGTCCAGGAGGTATAATGATCAAAGTCCCCACGATTCTAAAGAACAAAAACCTGAGTTCAAATACCTATTCTGTTACTTCTAGATTGTGAGATCTGGGTGGATCTCTCCAACCTCACGGGCCTTGGTTTCCTCATCTCTAAAATGAACATAAACATTGTATTAAAGAGTTCTTAAGAGGATTAAATAAAAGAGTATTGGAAAAAAGATACATAAATGTGTCCCAATAGTATTTACTGTTATTACTTCTTGACATTTTTCTACATTTTAATCAAACTAATGTAGTTGTAATTTCTCTAACACAGTGTCCTCTCTTGCCTCAGGATAATTATCTGCTCAGATAATTTTCAATTTTTTTAATACTCAGCTATTAGTAGCATCTAATCTCATAAATATGTTTGACTTTCTCAGACCCCTAATGTGAGTCCCCATTCTACAAATAATGATGATACCTAAATTTACTGAACACTTCCTATGGGCAACATATCATGCTGAAGACTTTCTACAATGTATTTGCTCTTATTATCAAAAATGATAATGATGGTTATTACTTCCACCACTTTATACATGAGTAAGTTGCCCAAGATCACAACAGCTCTTTAATAATAGAGCCTGAATTCAAATCTAGATCTTACTATCTCCAAGCCATGGTCTTGCCCATTCTGCTTTGTAGGTGGTATAAACATGATGGTTTACTTCTCTGCCCCTTTATATATGGTCCTAGGCTCTTAGAAGTGGAAATAATGTTTTCTCTCTGTAGCTACAGCACATATTAAAGTAACTACTACAGATTAAGTGCTCAATATTGCTATAGTGACTAAATGAAAGGAATGGATAGATGAAAGGAAATGAGAACAGAAAAGGATAAAAGAAATCTGTAACTTAGACAACTGTTAAAACCTGTCAACTATCTTGGAAATAGAAATTTAGACACATAGAAGTGTAAAAGGAAAAGTGCCTGCTGGTTCAGATAGTAATGAAATACGATATGAAAGAATCTAGCTGAGCTTAGCCTGTTTCACCCAGTTTCTTCATGGTCCCAAGTTCTACACAGAACATTACATAAACATAACCCAAAGAAAAAGAAGCAAAGAGGAAATACCAAGGGTAGGCCTTTTGAAAATGGATCTTAATTTAGCCTTCCTGATTTGCCATAAGATCCCTTGCCACAGAAGTTCCAACAAAGGCAATTCAGTATGCAATTGTGGTGGTTGGTTCCCATTCCTTAAATCCATATCGACATAATGCATCAAATCCTTTTCCCTCAATCTGTCCCCAGCGAGAATCTCCCTCAGCCCCATTCCTGCCCCTCATTTTCTCAGAGGTTAACATTTAACAAATTACACTCCCAACCTCTTTCCAGGCCCATCATCTTTTTAAGTTCAACAAGAGTGGAGTTTGCTGGCTAATTTTAAGTATCACATTTCTCCCCAAGCTCCTCTCAAACTGCTCTCTGGTTTCGGCTGCAGAATGTTAACAGGCCAGAAAGCACATGGGAGACAGAGCACTTTATCAGTTTCATACCTAAAATAATAAGCAAGTTTAAAGTAAACAGCTGAGAGAGATTGAATGGCACACTCTACTGTCAGCAAAAGCACAAATGCCCCAGTCTAAAGGTTGACAAATGCTGGGAATAGTTTCCTAGTTTCACACTGAATCTCATCTCTGAACTCACAATGTTTCTGATAGTGTTTAGAATGAAGTTCTATATTTTTTACTTGGCTCTCTTAAGAATGAGTTCATTAAGTATTTTCTATTTCATGAAGTATTTTATATTTCCCTTACAAAGTTCCCCAATCAAGACTTGAGTGGGAGCAGCCAAAGCTCCCACAGATAACTTCAGAGGGGGTCCCAGGCTTAACTATAGGATGATGACAATTTGCAAAAGGCCAATTTAACAGCAATTGGATTTTTCCTGCCTGCCTGCACCATTAGCTGACAACTCACTTCTCCATCACATCTGCAAACAGTTCTTCTGGACTGTTCTGACATTTCCCACTTAGAAAAGCTGCTTTCAGGAAGCTATTAACCCAGAAGAAATCTTCCTGGTCAAGCTCAGGGGTACAGAAAGGCCTCAGGTGGACAGCTCTACAGCCATTTAATTCTCTGTAAGGGATAACAACTGCCAAATAAGACAAATTGGAAAAGGCAGACCAAGGTATCAGACCCGTGAACCTAAATAGATGTGTTTACAGTAGTAATAAAATTCCTTTATTTCCTTTTTTTTCCTCCTTGGTGGAACTGATGGCAACATGCTTGCTAGGCAAGTGCTCCTCCACTCCTTGAGCCAGGCCCCCAGCCCGTTTTGATTTGGTGGTTTTTGAAATAGGGCCAATCTGGACAGTGATCTTCCTATTTACACTTCCCTGTATAGTTGGGATAACAGACATATACCACCACATCCAGTTTTATTGCTTGAGATGGAGTCTCACGATACTTTTGTCTAGACTAGCCCCATGACTCAATCCTCTCCATCTCTGCCTGTCAAGTAACTGCTAATTTTTGAGAACAATGACCACCATTATTGTTTTTTATTGTTCCTAGTTCCTTGTGCATAAGCACAATCCCTAGTTCACCTTAGGCTTGCTTACTGCTAAGTAGTGTTAACTATGTGCCAGATATTGTGCTGTTGCACTAAACCTCCATTATTTTAACACTTACTCCCAAACTGTAAGGTAAGAATCAGACAAGAAAATAAAGACCTGAAAAGTAACTACCCATGGTCACCAGAAAGTCAGTCAGTCAGTGCCAAAGCTAGAACTAAGACTCAACCAAAGCCATGTTCTTTCCACTACAGCCCTCCCCAAAACACTGATTTGGTCACTAACCTGGTGAGGTCCTTATGTTGAGGGTCTTATTGAAGTTGTCCTTGAGTGCTTCCGTCACAGACTTCATTTCTTCATCTACCTCTTCCAAGTTAATTATATCCTCCACCAAGGCTATGTTAATGTTTACTCTGGTCTGGGATTGTCCTTTCCCTTTAGCTAGAAAGTCAGCATTCAGTAAATAAAAGAACAGTAGCATGAACAGGATCCATAAGCATTGGTGAAGGATAGCCTACACTGTGTAGGTGAAAATGCCTAGTGCTAGAAGACTAAATTATAAAACACTCTCTGTGACACACACACACACACACACACACACACACACACACACACACACACACACACACACACACACACACACAACCCTGTATTTCCTTATTGCTAAGTAGGTACCTAGCATTGTGTTATACACTGCTCAGATATCAATGAGGGCACAGGCTTTGTAAGTAAACACTCCAGTTAAAATCCTGCAATATAACCTCAGGCAAGTTACTCTACCTTTCTGAGTATTACATTCCCTACCTGTAAAAGAGAAGTACTAAAATCTATATTGCTCTAAAAATATAAATTAAGTCATTCAAACACCTCAAGAGTCTTATATACATCACAGGGGATCCATAAAGGAACTAACACTTTATTTTTCAAAAAAAAATGAAATTGTAAGAAAGGTAAAGTGACTTGCCTAATATCAAAGGAAATGATAAAGTCAGGATTTGGTCTAATTTTACACCCATGAATTCCCAATAGACCATCTCCATAAAATCTAATTGGAGACAGAGGAAACACATCAGTACATTTAAAAATGAATATTAAGACAAGGTTATATACAATAATGAATGGCTGATACATGCAAAAACAGCAATAGTTTAGAGACATTAGACACTATCAATAATAATAATAGCTTTTATTTTAGAAAGTCAGCATTGAAAATTGGATTTTATGTCTAAACCATCATACTGATTTTTCACATGTATGGAATACAAATTCTCTTACATTTCTTTATGGAGGTAGGGAAAGAAAAAAATTGAAATGAGGGCTGGAAAGGTGGCTCAGTGGTAGAGTGCTTGCCTCGCATGCATGAGGCCTTGGGTTTGATTCCTCAGTACCACATAAGCAGAAAAAGCTGAAAGTGGTGCTATGGCTCAAGTGGTAGAGTGCCAGCCTTGAACTGAAGAGCTGAGGGACAGTGCTCAGGCCCAGAGTTCAGGCCCCATGACTGACAAAAAAAAAAATTGAAATGAATATCTATATATAATATTACACTGTTCATGCAACAAAAACTAGACTCATGAAACAAATATCTATAGCAAGTACTATCCTGGGTTATATCTATAAAGCATATTCTAATTTCCAATGCAATTTCAAGGGCATACTTTTACTTCATATTCAAGATAGCTCTCTAAGGTAGGAAAATAGAGACTATTATTATACCCAGTGTACAGATAAGAAATCTGAAGTACATGTCATTTAAATGTCTTAACCAAAGTAAGTAACCAGTAAGCAGCAAAGTGATTTTTGCTGTTTTTTTAAAACACTGGCTCAAGCCTGTAATCCTAGCTACTCAGGAGGCTGACCTCTGAGGATTATGGTTCAAAGCCAGGCCATGAAGGAAGGTTTGTGTGATTCTTAGCTCTAATTAACCATCCTAAAGCTAAAAATGTAGCTGTGGCTTAAGTGGTAAAGTGCTATCCTTGAGTAAAAAAGTTCAGGGACATTGCACAGGCCCTAAATTCAAGAATCAGAAAACAAACAAACAACAACACTGCTGTACCATCATGCTGGAACCCCTATTGCTCCTGAATTAACAAACTAATGAATTAGAATCTTTAGAAATAATTAAAAATATCAATTTGAGGTTCAGAAATACAAATCAGAAATGGGATAATAAAAGCAAACCCATAGCTAAGCTTCTTGCAAATAAAGAAAATCAAGGACATAAAAATCTTGAAAAAGACCAGGAGAAAATGAACTCTTCAAAAGAATTGCTAGCTATAGGCCTAGCTGCCTATAATCTCAGGAGGCTAAGATCTGGGGATCACAATTTGGAACTACCTAGCACAGAAAAGCCCCTGAGACTCTTATCTCCAATTTACCAGCAAAAAGCTAAAGGTAGAGTTGTGGCTCAAGTGGTATAGAGCCAGTCTTGAGCAAAACAAGCTAAGGAATAACGTCCAGCTAAAAAAAGAAAAGAAAAAGAAAAATTTAGAATGCTTTCTAAGTGCTATAAACAATGGAAATGATACCTTCAACTTTAGACTTTTTAAATCAAGCATGCATGTTAAAAATATAAGTAGGCATATTAAAGATATACTCATCAACATTAGACTGGATAATGGTAAGAATAAAATACTATATTTTCCTGAGGAAGAATCATCTATAGCTACAGAGAATTTAAATCAATCTCACAAATATAATGCTGAGCAAAGAGGCCAGACACAAAAATACAACTGTATGGTAAAAATCCATAGACAAGAACAGATGCTGAACAGTATAAAATAGACAAAAACTAATCCTTGCCACTAAAAGCTGAATAATAATTACTTGCAAAGAAAATATACTTATTAGATGTGTTTAATGTGCTAGAGTATTCTCTCATTATTATCATTATCTGCAGTACATTTGACCATATCTATGACCTCATATGACAGGCAAACATTCTACCACTGAAATACATTCCTAGTTCCTACTTAATTTCTTTCTTTTTTATTTATTTTTTTTTTAGACCAATCTCACTATGTGGCTCAGGATAGCCTTGAACTACGTAGTCCAGGTAGCCTTAAACTCAGTGTCCTCCTACCTCCTATCCTTAAGGTGGTACAGATGTATACCACTGATTTGGATATTGGTTAGACAAAGTGATTTCAGTTTGTGCGAGTCATATGATAGCTGTATTTTCCTAAAATGCTTTTTTTTATTTTTTTTTGGTCGGTCATGGGGCTTGAACTCTGGGCCTGGGCGCTGTCCCTCAGCTCTTCAACTCAAGGCGAGCGCTCTACCACTTGAGCTACAGCGCCACTTCCGGTTTTCTGGTGGTTTATTGGAGATAGGAGTCTCACGGTCTCTCCTGCCCGGGCTGGCTTTGAACCGCAATCCTCAGATCTCAGCCTCCTGAGTAGCTAGGATTACAGGCGTGAGCCACCAGCGCCCGGCGTGCTTTTTTTTATTTCTATAAAAAGGTAAAAGGAAATTAATTAAGGGCAACTATCAAACTTAAACAAAAGAGAATATATGTCTTCTAACTCAACAGAGATACAAAAGAAACAAAGAAATAATTAGCAAAGATACTAGATTATTAATGGAAAGAAATAAAAAGATGGGGCTGGGAAGGTGGCTCAGTGGTAGAGCGCTTGCCTTGCATGCATGAGGCCCTGGGTTCGATTCCCTAGCACCACATAAGAAAAAAAAAGCCGGAAGTAGCGCTGTGGCTCAAGTGGTAGAGCGCTAGCCTTGAGCTGAAGAGCTGAGGGACAGCGCCCAGACCCAGAGTTCAGGCCCCATGACCGGAACCAAAAAAAGAAAGAAATAAAAAGATAATCGCAGACATAGAGAAAATTCAAAATTACTAGGATAAAAATGTAAACACTCAACAAACACAATACATATAAATCCTAAATACAGGCTCAATAAATGTTGCAAGATAGATACAGATTATATACTAAGCAATGTATACTCAAACTATATATCAATAGCAAGCAGGCCTCATACCAAAATTCCAAAAATGGTTTTGAGTTACCATATTAATCAAAGATGGGCTAGGGATGTTGCTGAGTGATAGATCACTTGCCTAACATGAGCAAGGTCATAAGTTCAATCCCCAGCATTGCAGAAAAAGTCAGGGAGGGGAGATAAGAGGTGCAGGGAGGAGATAATCTCAATAAATGTGGTAACATTTGACTTAAACTAATTTAAAATTTAAAAGGGTTTTGTTGTATGCTTGTTTTGCTAAAAAAAAATCTTTTTCCCCTTTTGTCAATACAAGCTTTTTCACTCATAGCTAGCACTCTACCACTTGAGCCACACACCCAAGTCTAGCCTTTTCTATTGGTTAATTGGAGATGCAGTCTTATGAATTTTTCTGTTGGGGATGGCTTCCAACTTTGATCCTCAGATCTCAACCTCCTGAGTAGCTATGATTACAAGCATGAGCCACCAGCACCTGATTGCTAAATATCTTTTAGCAAATAAGGATAGAAGATACTTGCTTATGCCAGATGCCCGTGATCCCAACTACATAGAAGGCATAGTGTAGCAGATTTGCTATCTTAGGCCATCCCCAAGCAAAATATTCAAGATGCTATGTGAAAAATAACTAAAGCACATATAGCTCAAGTGGTAGAGCACCTAACTAGCAAGTGGAAAGCCCTGAACTTAAACAATACCATCAAAAAGAAAAAAGAAAAAAAATTCCTGAGCCATACACTTGAAATTTAGATATCTACTACCCAAATTCTATTAGATATATATATATATATATATATAGTACACACATACAAGTATATATGCTGTAGCTCAAAATAATTTTTAAATATATCAAATACAAAAGTAACAAAAATGTTACAGTACCCCATAAACATATTTGACTAAAAGATTGTGCAAATTCTTCTGGAAAAAGTTGACAGTATGGTTATAAATTTCATAAGGAAGATTAAAAGGCTGAAAAGAAAATTAAAAAATATATAATGAGGGGAAAGATTTGACTCAATAAATTCAAGATTTTGTGACAGTGATTCAAGCAGTCAGGAATTAAATGCAGAGAGAAAAAGTAGTTCAACAAACACAAAAGCTCAGGAACAATACCATACATATAAAGAAAAGAGGAGTCATTGTAAACCTGGATGAACTACATATGGTATAAAACAACTTATGACTGATAATAATAGAAAAGAAACTTAAAACTAGTGTTTTAATTCACACCATATTCAGATATAAACTCTCTCGGGACAGGAAATATTAATTGAAAAAGCCACTGACCAAGATATATTTATAAACTATTTTGGTGAACTTTGTACAACTACTTAAGTATAATAATAAAAAGAAAAAAGGTACAGTTGTAAAAAAAAAACAGTGAGGTGCACTCTAAATTATAGAAATGTGAACTGTATCTCAATAAAACTGTTTTTTAAAACAAAAAAAGAAAAAAGGCATAAAAAGCATAAATGACAAAGGAAAAAGCTGAAAAACATAACAACATGAAAACTTATATCCAGCAAAAACACCATAAACACAGTAAAAAAGAAAAAGATAACTTATAACACAATCAACAAAAGATTAGTATCCCTAATATAAAAAGAATGATAAATCTAAAAGAAAAAGAAAAGCAACTTTTTAAGGAAACTTAAAAAAAAAAAAAAAAAACCTGAACAGCCCACTGAATATGAAAAGAAGTTGGTTAGAGGCCGCAGTTCAAGTCGGGTGTCTAGGAAACTGAAATGCTGCTGCAACAAGAGGCTCAGGTTTCCAGCTCTTCCACTAACTAGACATGACCATGGGCAAATTTTTTACAAAGGTACTGGACTTTTCTCATTTGCAAAATGGTCAGATCTGGATTAACTAGGTAATTATTAAAAACCCCTTCAAGGAATAAATGATAAAGACTAATCCAGTAAACATAAGAGAACTTAAAAAATAAATATAATAAAACATATATGTCAAATGTTATTATTGAAGCACTCTTAACAGAATGTAAAGTCTTCTGACCATTCATCATCTTTCAGTAATTAACAGCATGAAACCAGAAAAGGACAGTGAATAGGAAAATATTAGTGTCATATCTGTAACACCACCCTTGAGCATGGACTACCTGACCCACTACTACAAATTCTTATTCATGCATCCAACAAACGTGTGGAATATATACCATGAGTCAGGCCCTGGTGGTGGGTGCTAAATAACAACAACAAAAAAAAAAAAAGACTACCTTTGTTGGGTTCAACATGGGAGACCATAAGAAACAATAATTTCACAAGTGACTAATTAATTAATTAATTACTGCTGTTCTAAGTGCATCAAAGGTAAAATAACAGTGTGCATGAGTGCAGGTAACTCGGGACCTGACCTACTCTAAGAGGTCAGGGAAGGCTTCCCTAAGGAAGTGCTATTTTAGCCGAGACCTGTGGTACATCAAAATCTCATTCTTAGATGACAAAAGCTATTAAGATCATCCATCTACATCCACAGTTCTAATACTCCTTTTACCCAAAAACCTCCTGCTTTTAATTATGCTTCCACCATGTATCTTCCTTCTAGGAGAGAAGATGATGATGCCTGTCACAAGCATTCCTGTTTGGTTGATACTTAAACCTCTAATTCTAAACCTGAAAGAATAAGTTAGGTATGTTCTGAGCCACCAAGAAATAAATGAGGCAGCATAGTAAAAGAAAAAAGGATCTGGGTTCACACACAGTCTCTTGTTATTGAGACCTTTCAAGCAATTCAACTGAACTGTCCAAGACATAATTTCCTTGTGTGGACAGGAAAGAAATTCAGTGTATCTTTGAGATCACAGACAGTTTATAATTCCTGGGTCAAACATAAGAAAGGGGAGGGGAGGTCATATGTCTATACCTTTGGCTTTCTTAGTGGCAAAATGTCGAACTGGTACAACTGTACAGGCCATGTACTGCCTATGGTCAGGTTGTCTGCCACTCATTGTCTTCACTGTGATTTCTGAAATAGGTCTGGTCAAAGTTGTAAGGTAACTGCAAAATGCAGGATGGATCAAGCGGAAACACTTTAATCCCAAGGCCATGACAGAAGACAATCCTTGTGAATATCCACTAGAAAGAAGACAAAAAAAGGAGATCTAAGTAAAAGAAACCATAGTTTAGAAAATTCTTACCAATTATCAACAAGTGGGACCAGACAATGTAGATCTATTATGTCTAATATTCCAATAACTGTAGACAAAAAAGACTTGCTTCACTTTATAAAGATAAACAAATTGAGGCACACAGTGATTTAAGTAACTTTCCCACAGCCTACAGGACACAGAACCCCAGTTCTTTCTATTGCACCAAAATGCCTATTAAGCAAATGTGCAGCAGCCTAAATCTTTAAGTACTGCTAATTAAATTTTAATATAAGAAAAAGCTCAAAATCTAGATGAAGTTTAAAAGGAAGAGCAGAACACTGGATGAGGACTTTAAATAAGAAAACCATTTCAACAGGCATAAAATGACTGGAAAATTTACACGACAGCATTTAATTAAAATTTTCTTTGGTTCCTTATGCACTGATTACCAATTAGAACACAGTTTAATGTGAGTCTGAAGCATAATTGGGGCCTGAGGTCTTCTATGGTATAAAAGCACTGGAAAATACTACCCTCCACTAGGTTAATGTAAGTTATATATTATAATTCTGAGGTCTGAAAGATGCTGCCCCTGAAATGGAACACAGTCCTAGCCAACAAACACAGTATTATAGCATCTGCCCAGAATCTGGCTATTATTATTCAACTAAAAATTGGTGGCAAGTATTCAGAAGCTGTTCTTTGAAAATCAGTCCCACATCTCATTTAAAAATTTAAAACATCTTCCTAAAAATTCTAATGCAGTTTAACAGACTGACCAAAGATAAGGACTTTGAAGCCTGGAAAAACAGGGATCCAGTCCCAGCTCCACCACTAAATAAATGTTCTACATTTCTCAGCATCTTAATTTCCCTACTGTAAAAAAGACATATTATTTGTTTCTTAAGAATTCAGAACAAGGTTACATAGCACAATGACTAATAAGTATCTATTAACAGTTTCATCTTTTTCTTAAGGGTCAGACACAAAGAAATTCTATATGTATATCATTAATGCTGATGTTTAAGGTGGCTTGGAGTCAGTCAGACATGTATGCAAATTTCTACTTTGGATAATTTATTCTACCTTTCTGGGCATCACTTTCTTTACCAATGAGAAAAGGAACCTGCTCTTCAAATAAAATGAAATCATGAGTGTATATAAATATGTAGCCCATTGTCTGGAATATGGTAGCTATTAATGAACATAGCTACTACCATTATTATCATTATTTCTTTTCTAAAGAGAAACAAATGAGTAGTACAAAAGTAACTACTTTCTCCTGATGGAATTTTCAATAACAAGTGTGCTGGCAGCAGTGATTAGTGTATGAAGTCTTTACTAACAGACCTGAATGAAAAGTAAAAAATACTTTTCCCTCCTTTTTAATTATCAATAGTTAATATCCATTGAGGTCAGGTCTTATCTTCTTGTTTTATTCTTTTGTGGGTATGTGTGGTCCTTGAGCTTGAACTCAGAGCACTTTCCTTGGGCTTTTTTGCTCAAGGTTAGTTTCTACTACTTGAACTATAGCTCCACATGAGCTTTTTGGTGGTTAACTGGAAACAAGAGTCTCATGGACATTCCTGTCCAGGCAGGCTTTGAATGAAAATCCTTAGATCTCAGTCTCCTGAGCTAGAATTACAGACATGAGCCGCTAGAACCAGCTCTAGATTAATACATCTTGTTGATAATTCAACAAAGTATAAAGAGTTGAAAACTGAGGCTCTCAGGGATTAAGTCACTGTCCAAGAACATGCAGCTAATAGCCCAGTTCTCCTTAAGTGCTATTCACAAAAGTTTGGCTTGGATCGCAGGGAGATCTCTTTTCTTTACCTTTCTTTCCTGCTTTCTTTTTGTGTTGTATTGGAGTTTGAACTCAGGGCCTTATGCTCTCACTTTGCTTTTTCTGCTCAAGGATGGTGCTCTACCATTGGTGCCACACCTAACTTCTCTTTTTGTGTGTGTGGGGGGGGGGGTTAATTGGAGATAAGCATCTCACAGACTTTCTTGTGTAGGCTGGCTTCAAACGACAATCCTCAGATCACAGCCTCCTGAGAGGCTAGGGTTACAGGCATGAGCCACTGTTACCTAACTCCTAGTGAAACTTCTAAAACTACATTTTTGCCTAATATAGCCAGGACCTAACTCACTAACATCCAAATATGGCTACATAATATTTAATATAGAGAGGCCCAATCTGGCTACCCCCTGTATGACAGGTTTCCTGATGTTCCTATTACAGGTCAGAGTACCAATCCACAAAGCAACAGGAAGTCAAAATGGGTTAGAAATAAACAACCTTTGACAGAAAATGCAACACCCAAAAGCAGACCCGGTACACATGAACCGGAAGACAATTCTATAAATAGACCATATTGCTGAAATGCTTTGAGGCATAGATTTTAATTACATAGAAGTCAGGAAATATCAAAGTCAAAACTGAATAAAGGCTGTCGCTTGAATCTTTACCATAAGGACAAACACATAAACATTCAATTCAGCATAGATAAAGAATTAATGTTAAAGAAACATCATGAGAGTTGTAGAACTTTCAAACAAAATTAACCCATACGCAGAAGCAATGTGGCTATAGTGTAGGGCTTTGGGCATATTGTGGAACTGGAATCTTAGTTCCCCCACTAAATAGATAATATGACCTTGAGTAGGTCATATAGCCTTTTTGAGCAACAATTTCTACCTCACTGCAGTGATATTAATGAGTTTTTAAGAAGATACCAACGGTTGGGGAAATGGCTCAAATGATAGGCCATTTATTTGTGCAAGCAAGCCCAGGTCCTGAGTTTAGACCCTAGTATTGCCCCCCTATAAAAAGGTTATTATATAATAAATTATTATAATTATATTTTTGGGTTTATAGTATTATAGCACTAGTAATGATGATAGCTAATATTTTAGTGATAATTATATTACATACCATACTCTACTTCACACAACACATTAACTTATCTGGGCCTCAAGATAACCCTGTAAGTATTAAAACTGTCTCCACTTTACAGATGAGGAAACAAAAGCACAAGTGAATTGCCTAAGATTAAACTAACACAACTTAGCTCCAAAGTCTGCACTCTTAACTATTATAGGACACTGTGTACATAAAGCAGTAGGCCAAGACACTGGTGGCTCACACCTGCAATTCTAGTGACTCAAGAGGCAGAGATCATGGGCTGGGAAGGTGGCTCAGTGGTAGAGCGCTTGCCTAGCATGCATGAGACCCTGGGTTCGATTCCTCAGCACCACATAAACAGAAAAGCCGGCAGTGGTGCTGTGGCTCAAGTGGTAGAGCGCTGGCCTTTAGCTGAATTGCTGAGACACAGTGCCCAGGCTGAGAGCTCAAGTCCCACGAACGGCAAAAAAAAAAAACAAAAAGCATCCGGTGTACTTCTATCACTTGTAAATGTATTAAATCATTTCTCCTATCTAGGTTTTGTTTTACTATAAAATTATCAGCTTGGAGAAGGCAGGAGAACCATAAGTTCCTCCTGCAGTCCAGGCAGCGAGAGCCCTTAACTGGGGCAAGTTTTCATCTCATAAGCACGCCAAGATTCTCGGAAATGAAGAGTATGATAACGGGGGGGGGGGGG